ATATATATATATATATATATATATTAAAATATACTTAAAATATGAATAATTTAATTATCTTTTTAATTATTGTTTAATTTTAACAAAATTTAACATGCACATTTACAATAATATAAAGTTGTAATTCAATTGTTGGATTGACAAAATTTATTTTTTTATATAAAATTATTCAACAATGTTATAAGTTAAAGTTACATTTAAGTAATTTGATTCATCCATATATATATATAATTAATGTATGTGTATTTAGACGAAGATTTATAAAATTGGTTTTTCAGTTAAATGGTTTATGTTTAAATGTGTTTATCTGAAAGTAAGTTTGTTGTAAAACTTAAGAATAATATTTTTAATGTAACTACAAACTACTTTTTACACTTTTAATTAAACCAAATTTTTTGGCAAAATCAATTTTACTTAACAATGTCAAACATTTATATTTTTGTAAAATCAAGTTTGACCGTTGTTAAAATTAATTTTAAATGTTTTAACTGTAAAATCAAACACACCATATCTTTCTTTATAGAAAATTTTTGTTTTAAACAAATACTAAATGTACGAACCTCTTCAGGCAAGAATTCAAATTTTGGTTTGTCAAATTATGAGACTGGCCTTTTTGCGAATGAATCTGGGCGTTGGTCTTAAAAATATATTTATAATTCTATATCTACAAAATAAAAAAGAAATTATAAGGTTAAATAGATTCTATGAGAATAGTTATATGACACGAAAGTGTTTTTTTTATTATAAAAATTATCTAATTTTAGTTATTTATTTATGAAAATAAAGATTACATACGAGACATTTCCATGAATGAGAGATTAAAAGGAGAGATTTACATAAACGAAAAACAAACATTACCTTGATTTTTAAAGCCTAAAACATATTTAATTCTAAAATTTATATAAAAATTCACATTCACAAACCAGATAATTAAAATGTATTTTGTTTAATTTAGGATTAATGTATTTTGTTTTACCATGCATCTCCAATTTAGGATTAATGTATTTTGTTTTAGGATTAATGCATTTTGTTTTACCATGCATCTCCAATTTATTCATAATCCTTGACAAACCAGATAATTAAAATGGAGAAAAGGATAAAAGGAGTGTTTATAGAATAGCTTTGGACTCCATAAAAACTTGGTCAAGTATCCATTTATGTGATTAGGAGACCAAAAAAAAAAAAAATAGTTACAATAGCATAAGTACTTTTGGTGTTGGTCACCGATCAACATTAGTGTTTCACTTCGATAATAAGTGTAAATGCATATTACCAATGTTTGTATTGAATGATTTAAGAAATTATTTGGACTTTGAAATACAATTTAGAAATGTTTTTGAGAGTTTCTCTGTAAAAAATAAAGAATTATTTCTGGTAGAGAAGTTCATAAAAATACTTCTAAGCTTGTATTCAAACTTACTCTAAATATAAATGCATATTATTGAAGTCTAACTTTAATTCTTATCAGAGAATATCAGCAACTGTAACTATGGTAAGGTACTTCAATTTTTTTCAAACAGATAGTTGATTAATGCATTGTGTTTAGTTTCCTTTGTTAAGTACATGCTATTAAGGTGCTAATCATTTTTTTTGTTTTTGCCGCGTCTATATTTTCCAGATTCCATTCTAGTACCTTATACTAATATTTTTTTCCATTGGCACCTTGAAACTTCTTGGCCATTTGTAAATGAAATTTCTTCTCTTTCCTTACTATGTTCAAATAATTATATGGCTAAAAGAATGTTGATATAATGTTGAAGAGGTATCCATTTCTTCTGTAATTTTGTAATTCTCCTTTTATGTGTAACAGGGTGATTTTAGAATCTGAATTTATACATGAACCAGAGGAATCAAATTCTGCAGATGATGTTGGAGTATCTGATAATGAGGCTGAAACAGAGATTTTACTACATTTTCTGGTTTCACTCAGAGAAGAAAAGAAGAAACAGGCAGCCAAGTTGGAAGAAGTTCTAAATTTCTTGAATGAAGATATTATGGAGGTAGAAAGAAGTTATCCATTTGAGACAGATTTAGCATTTCCTTTGGCACAAATGAACAGTACTGAAGTAGGAAGCAACGACCTACATTTGCAAGATTCTTCCACTACAGACATTACTAGGTCCATTCAAAGGTTATTTATTGATGAAGAAAGATTTATGAGTAACATAAATCAGCTAGAGAATGCTTACTTTTCCGCGAGATTCCAAGTCCTGCCAAAAGAGGCTTCATCTGTTTCAAGCAATGGTGAAAATGTGATGGAAAATAGATGGAGGTTGCCCCATGTGGAGAATGTTAATAAGGAACCTAGAAGAATTCAGAGTTCTGTTGATTGTCTAACATCCTTCTGTGAAGGTTTATGCAAGTTTGCTCGTTACAGCAACCTTGAAGAGTGTGGCAGATTAAGAAATAGTGATCCGTTTATTAGTTCTTCCAATTTGATAAGTTCTTTAAGCTTTGACCCTGATGAGGATTACATTGCAGCAGCAGGAACGTCTAAGAAAATCAAGATTTTTGATCTCGGTGATATTTCAACCAATTCTATTGACATCCAGTACCCAGTAGTTGAGATGTCAAGTAAATCAAAGCTTAGTTGTGTGTGCTGGAACAATTACATAAGAAATCATCTGGCATCTACTAACTATGATGGTGTGGTTCAGGTGTGTAATCTTTGACAAACTCTCCTTATTATCGACCGAAATTTATATGAAATCATAAATTTTTTGAGTGGGTCCTGCATCTCGTTGAATGAGTCTATCTTGATTTTGTTGTTGAGCTTTCAACCAATCTAGTAAAATATTAGAAAGTGTGTCGCTAGTATTTCTCATATTGTAACCGATGAAAACCAATATTAGCCATGTCCTTTTATTCATACTGACTAAGCTTTCATTGTTTTTGCTATTTTGACTAATTTTTTTAGGTTTCATTGACATTTGACCCTACTAATATAAAATGTATGGATGAATTCAGATGTGGGATGTAAGCACTGGTCATCCATTATCTCAATACACGGAGCACCAAAAGAGAGCTTGGTCTGTTCATTTTTCTCCCTCAGATCCAAAAATGTTTGCTAGTGGAAGTGATGATTGCTCTGTCAAACTGTGGAATATCAGCGAGGCGAGCTATCTTTTAAGCATTTTAATACTAAATGATTACTAATACAATATATTGGTTTGTATGGTAGAATATTTTTCATGCTCTTTTGGCCTTTCCATGGATTAAAAAAGAATAATATGAAAAGAAACACAACTATGTCATATAAAAGACAGTTGAATTCTTTTGCTTCACAGCATGTGATAATTGTCTTGAATGCTGTTGTTCTTGCAGAGAAATTCTGTGGAAACCATCAAGATGCTTGCCAATATATGCTGTGTTCAGTTCTTTGATTCATCAACAAATCTTTTGTTTTTTGGATCAGCTGATCACAGGGTTTATGGTTATGATATTCGTCACACTAGAATCCCTTGGTGCACATTAGCTGGTCATGGCAAAGCTGTTAGCTATGTAAAAATTATAGATGCTGAATCAGTTGTCTCTGCTTCCACTGACAACTCTCTGAAGCTTTGGGACCTCAAGAAAACCAGCTCTTCTGGTCTGTCAAATGATGCTTGTGTTTTAACCTTTAATGGTCATAGAAATAAAAAGGTTGGTTGAAAAGCTCATTTTACCTTACTTTTTGTCTTCTTTTGTTTTTTCTAATTTGTTTATTGTTCTTCCTCTTCTCCAGAATTTCGTGGGATTATCTGTTTCGGATGGATACATTGCATGTGGTTCAGAATCTAATGAGGTATGGTTTCTTATTTTTTCATAACCTTGACTTTGTACATGGAAAATATTAATCTGAGTTCTGCTTCCCTTGAGTGCTGATTCTCATGGGGCCTGCAACTTTTTTTGCATTCTGCATTACATGTTAGAAAAGAATATAGTTCTTTTATATTTTGGGATTTTTTGTATTTGGTTACTCTATATGATTATTTAGAAGCCTAATCGTAGAGTAGAGTTACTTAAAGACTGATTTCAGTTAGCATTGTAATTGCTTTCATCATTCATATGATTTGATGTGCTTTTGTTCATCTATAAATGGTCTTAAGAATATCCCATAACAAGATACTAATTCTAATTCATTTTAAACATTTCTACCTTTCAGGTGTACTGTTATCACAAATCACTGCCAGTGCCAATTGCTACTCATAAATTTGAGTCAGTTGATCCCATTTCTGCTGATCAAAATAGTGGTGATAATCATGGACAATTTGTTTCAAGTGTATGCTGGAGAAACAAATCTAACATGCTTGTTGCTGCCAACTCAGTTGGAATTGTGAAACTATTGCAGATGGTCTGACAGAAAAGAGAAAATATTTGATTAACACTGAAATCTGAAAAGAAGTTCATTTCCTGACTCCATAATATTTTTAGTAAGCATTTTATTTGAGACGAACTCTCAGACCAGTTCTTTATCGGGGAGTAAAGCTTAAATGAGGTCAAGATTTGGCATTGCTTCTGAGGCAAACATCAATGTGTCTTTTTTTTCCATGCTTAGGTAATCCTTGCAGGATCCCGTATTCTACAATATGACACAATAAAAATAAACTGAACAAGAAATGTATATAGCATGTACAAATGTACGCTTTTGAACCGAGGCCTGGTGAAGCAGGAGCATGTAAATCTCTTCCAAATATCAGTATCTCACGTGACTAGAGGATGTACAACAATTCACAAATCAACAAGCTGGGGGGACCAGACAGACCTGAAAGTTTGATTGAACTTGAAACTTGGACAAATTTGTATTTTTACAGCATAACTTCCTGTACATCATCCAGGCTCCTGAGACTGCAGTCTGTTAAGCAAGTGAGGGACATATTACTAAAGCCGATCTGGATGCAGCGCAGAGATACATACTAATTATCTTAACTTTTCCAAATCACTTATAGTTTATCAGAAAAGTATAGGATATGATCTATGCTTTCCATTTACTTGCAAGTACTAACTGTAGTTGGTATAATGGTTCAAATACTATTGTTTAGATTTTATTTAAGAAAAATTGTGCAAAAGTTGCATGTTTAGTCTTATTGGCTGCCAAGTGCCAACTCTATCTCTGTCACAGAGCATTGTTATGCGATCTTAGGTAGAACAACTGAAACATTTTTGCTATTGTTTTTTATTTTTCTGTATGTTTGAAAGATTTTTCCTGTGCCATAGTGTTGGATTTGATACTCCGGGTTCTATTTCCCCCAGTTACTAAGGATAAGGAAATGTTGGAATAAAAGTTTTGATGCATTAATGACACTTTTAGCTGCTGTGGCATGAATACAAGGAATCAGTCACAGTACTTTTTGCCGTTCCTATCCTTTTTTCACAAACTACTCATGTCTAGAATACCTTAGTTTAAACTACTTAAAGTTAATTATGTGTATCCATCCTTGCAAATGAGAAGAGTCTTGAGTTTATAAGCTATCTGCGTGGTGTCTGAAGTCAGACTAAAAAGCCAGGTTTTATCTTGAAAATCTGGTGAGGGTGTATTGTGATCTAAGAAAGCTCAGAGTCTGAGACATGACCAGAAGATACTCTTCTTATTGCCCTTGGACTTGATATTATGCGGTTATCTGAATTAAGCCTCAGACTTCGTGCACGAGGGGACATTTGTGGAGGTCTGGCTGATTTCCCTTTCGGTGTACCTGCTTTGAAAAAACACATGAAGATGTCAACTAACAATTAGAAGTTACATAAAAGTGAATTTCACTAAATAGGAAGTAGGATTCACATCATTTAGGTGTGTTTTATTCTCTTTCCACTTATTGGTTTTAAAAACTGCTTTCTATAACAATTTCACACTAAACAATTGAGAGATGTTTTGTCCTCTTTTTTTTTTTTTTTTTTTCTAATCATCTAATTTAACATCTCCCTCAAGTTCATACTTCGCTTTGTGTGTTGCACATCTCTACCAACTGTGTGAGCAACCTTGATTAGTTGCATTTTAAAAGCTAAAATTAAACCCAGCCTTAATATAATTCACTTGTATTTAAGCCTATTAATAAATTTTATTGAAAAGTGCGCGTTGGAGGTATTTCACTTTAAAAATTTCAATTTGTGTATGCATTACCTTGTTCAATAATGTTAATGTAAAAAAAAAAAAAAATGGTGAAATGAGGACATAGTGTGTAATCAAGTAATGACAGTTCGTGGAAGTGCTCTTTTTGGGTTTGCAAGTTCCTTGTAAACCTATATGCCATTTCAGATACCACAGGTCGTACTTGTTCTGACTTGAAAATTCTCTCAAACAATATCAACAAGGTGTTAGAAATAATACTCTTTTATGATATTGAAAATGAGACATGATGGTTAATTGCTTTTTTCATTAATCAATGATGGAAGCATGGGATGCAAAAAATTGTGATGGCTAAAATACTGTAATTTCACTAGTTTCTTCCTAGCAAGCATTTTGTATACTTAGCTCGCAGGAGTTTTCAACTAGATATTTTGATTGATGAAATAATAGACGAAAACATTTTGATGGAGAAAAAGAAACTCACAAATTTGCCATAATTTCATTTCTATAATTCAAACATTAGCTTCTTAAGAATCATAAACTGCTGTAATTTAGAATTGCATGGATACTAATTACAAGAGCAAAAAGTTCAGAAGGTTACTCGGTTGTTTGGTGAATTTCAAATCAAGAGATTTTCTGGTCAATGTAATTTTCCTGTTCATGATACTGTCATGTCCAAGCAAAGACTTCCTTTCATTTGTGGAAGGAAATGGCTCATCCCCAGAAGTAACAAGTTCATCACCACATGCTGAAGTCTCACTTCCAGACTCGGAGTTATCCTTAAGGCATGTACTTATCTTTTCCCTTTCTATAACTTGATAGGCAAACATTTGAAATGGAATTATTGACACTGGTGATGATTCAGAACTTCCCCAAGAAGGAAACTTCCTCAGAAGCACTGCCTCTATATCACAATAATCTACTGGTGGCACTGGTTGTTCTGGATGATTAATGTAACCAGGATTCATTGCAAGAAACCTTTTTATATAACGAAGAACTCTACATATGGTGGAGAAAGTTGGACGTTGATTGGGATCAATATGCCAACATCTCTTTGTCAAGTTAATAACATACTTTGGTGAATTCAGTGGGAAAAGTGGCCTCTCTCCTGCCCTTATGTTTCTGCTCATTTTCTCCCCTTGGAGATGACTATCCTCAAAAGGGACTTTGCCAGTTAGAAGCTCAAAGCAAACCATTCCAAAACTGTACACATCAGATTTCTCTGTGTACTTGGAGTTGGAGTTTGCTGCACCCCCTGATTGTTCTTGCTCTTCAAGCACTTCAGGAGAGTACCATATGAAAGGGAGAGTTCCATTCTGATTTGTGTTTGTGTTGGTGTTTGTGTTCCCTCTTTGGTTCAAGTCCTTAACAGAAGATAGGCCAAACCCAGATACCTTGGCATGCAAGTAACCTTCTGGGGATGTACCTCTAGACTTAACAAGAATGTTTGAAGGGTTTAGTTCTCCATGATATACTTTCTTTGAATGCATATACTCCATTCCCCTGGCAATCTGAAGCATAATATCAACTGCCACATGAAGCAAGAACGGTATTCGCCTCCGTGGACCATGAATCTCTTTGATGTGTGTGGAAAGGGTTTTGCTCATCAGTTCCATCAACAAAAAGCACTCCTTCTTCTCCTCATCAGTGAAACCACAAAGGTAGTCCATTATATTTGGATGTGAAAGAGACAAAAGTTCTCTGATCTCAGGTACCAAAGCCTCAATATCCCCAGAAAAATGTCTTATCACAAAGCTTTCACCTAACCATGAAATCTCCTTGTACTGGCTCATATTCCCCATTCTTCTCCTCACCTGGTAGTCCTTGGATCCAATCAATATTGAGCTTGGGAGGAGCCTCTCTTCCAATGATTCTGATCTTTCCAAAATCCTCAAGAGGAAATCTATCAATTTCTTCTCGTGCTTTGTTATACCTGCCACTTTCTTTTCATGAATTTTGTTGTAAAGGAACCATCTATCTTCCTTCCAAACTGTGTCATACCGGTTGCATAAGTCCTGAGTGATGAGATACTGCTTCCCAAATTTCCACTGGAAAAGTTTCATGTCTCTATATTCTTTCCTGTACTTGTTGGAGTTTATAAGCCTCTTCCTTTGCATCTCATCCTGATCCCACCCTGATGTTTCTCCTGCAGACTCTATGGCTTCAATCACAACAGGCATGCAACAAAGCAAGTTATGTATATGAAACTCAACACAGTCTCTATTGTGGCACATGGTAATGGCCTTAGCCCACCAATCTTTTGTTTCCATGCAATGCCTAACGTAGGATTCTCCTTCTTTAAAAATCCTATGGATCTCTCTCAAGGGCTGTTCAAGAACCTTCCACTTCCCAGTCTTCTCTTCAAATTTCAGGTTTTGTATAATCTCATCTGCAATACACTCATATGCAAAGTTGAACACATCAAACATCAAACAACATTGCCTCTGATTGATTTGAATGCTGTCCCGGAATACCATCACAGATTTCAAACTCCCTAGTGCCTCACCAATCTGTCTAAATTGTTCCATGACTCTTGAAAAAAACAATGCCTGTAAAAAAATGATGATTAAGTATGAATATTATTCATTCACAATGCAAACCAGTGTAATTCATCAATGTGTTTAGATGCAAACCTAGATAAGAATGGTGGTGACCAATCATAAAATGAGGAGCAAAGAAGGAGATTGAGATCAAGCTCCTTCTTGTGTAAAGGTGATGCAGATTGAAGCACTTTCAATATGGTACAAAACTAACGTGGAATTCCTTCTTTCCAAGATGTGATGAGAAAAAGAATAGGAAGAAAAATGAGTTATGGGTTGGTTTCCTATGCAAGAGAATCAAACAATCTTGGCATAGGAATGAAAAGTGTAAGAATGTAAGAAACTAACAAAAAATTAAAATGAAAATGAAATACAAAAAATGGGATTTAGTAAAATGTTTAACTTGGTAATATTAACAAAGACCAATAACAATTTTTACGGAATGTTGTTGAGTGTGAGTTTTGTTACAAGATTAGAATGTCATTGAGCTTGAGCTTGACCACCCAAACACTCACTGTGAACGGTTCTGTGGGGACAGTATTCTCGCGAGTTTTATGGGTCTGTCTGGTTTGTTTGAAATGACCAATTCTTTCTACCTACTCGTCAGTTAATACATGTCCCCTAATAACTAATCCTTCAATTTCCCAACTTGTCCTTCTTGCCATGCCAAAGTCCAAATATAATCTAAGTTTCGAATGGGTGTATTAAATATTTTGTAAGAGTCCTAACAATTACGGTGTGTTGGAGTTATTTTATAATATTTGTTTGAAAGGATATTTTATAAAAGTTATTTTTATAAGGTTATTACACAAGTATACTCCATAATGATGAGATATTTTTATAAGGTTTTGTTTTTGGTCATTACCCAAAAGGCATCTTTATCATTGAAGTATGTTTGTGCTATATAAGTTGTTATTTCTTGTCTTATTTTATCGATGTGAGGCTTGTTTATATCCTAACAATCCTCCCCTCAAATAAGGGATGTCTTTATATATCACATTATATGTTATGAGTTATGAGAAATTATGAAGGTTGTTACCGTATCCAACCAAGCTCTGATATTATTGTTGGAGTTATTTATAGTATTTGTCTGAAGGAATATTTTATGAGAGTTATTTTTATAAGATTATTACGCAAACATACTCCACAATGATGAGATATTGTCCGTTTTGCGCCTAAGCCCTCACGATTTTGCTTTTTGGTTTTTACCCAAAAGGTCTCTCAGTCATTGAAGTATTATTTTATCAATGTGAGACTTGTTTGTATCCCAACACATTGATACTCTCTAGTTGGATTACTTTTGATGAAAAAATTGTGTTCTTAAAAAAGATATAATGAAACTGTTTAGGGTCCCTCAACACAGTTATTGGCCTAAAATACAAAATATGTAAGGTCATCTTACATATTGATCTTTAAAATTCAGAAAACAAATGCTACATTCGAGAATCGCTCCTAATGATATGAAATAATATTAAGGACATCTCAAATAGAAACAACTCATTTAAGTTGTTTCATGCATTGAAAAATAAAAAAAAAAAGTGGTTCCTAGTGTGTCATGTCAGTATTAAGCAACTCAAACACAAATTTACTCTAATAGTAAGAAACTTTAAGAAATTCAACTTTTAGAATTTTTTTTCTTCTAATAATTTATGAACCAATTTTAAATTTTTATTAAAAAAGATAATTGCACTACAATGAAAGAAAATAAATTACGAGTACACAATAAGTAAATATTAAAAATAAAATAAAGCAATAGTAAATACATAGAAATTATATGAAATTAATTTTCATCATTATTATTTTTGAAACGTTCCCAAATATGTTCAATAAGATCTGCTTAAAATCTGTTAAGGAACGGTTAATTGAGGAAGCAACTCTCTTTCTTTTTCAAGCAACTCATATTGCTACGTCAGAATTCTCCAATGACAAAAAACCGGGACTTGAGTTGCTTCATGGAACAAGTAACTCCCATTAGAGTTGCTCTAACTAATAAAAAAAGAGAAAGAAAATAATAAAATAACTTACGTAAATTTTCTTTTGTCGGTACTTGATTAAATATGGAGTTTAACAAGTGAGGGAGTACATAAAACATTTTTCCATTATTCTAAGTAAGCTTTTTATATAAATTAAAACCTCCGTGATTAATTATAATACCATTTCAATTAAATTACACCTTTTAATAAAAAAAAATAATTAATTTAGTTAAGAGCATTAAATTTTTTAATAATTTAAATTATTTTTTTTAAAAATTAATATTCTCTCTTTTTATTTAATCATTTCTTACTTAATTAATTAATATTTGAAAAAAAAAGAAATGTTTATTTATCTTTTTCAATTCTAATAAAAGAAATATTTTTATCCAATTAATATCAAACATTTATTATCTTTTATTTAAAAGAAGTATTTATTAAATAAAATATTTTGATAAAGATTTAATTAATATAACTGATAATTAAGAGAAAAGGTCTTAAAAAAGAGACAAGAAAAAATGAAAAGAGATTTATATATATGAATGGAGACAATACATATTCATTGTTTAAAAATAATTTTAAAATAATATAACATTTAATTAGTACATAATACGAAGAAAAAAATGAGACCTAAATTGGCACATGCTTAGTAGCCTAGGCCTTAGATTAAAAAAATTCAATATTAAAGTGATTGTTACCTCAGTTAAAGCGATAAAGATGATTATTACAATAGAGATTGAGTTTTATTATCTCCATAAATAAGTATTGTATCAAGAATAAAAATCAACAACGTGATTAATGTAACGTAGTTAGTAGATTAGAACGGGACGTTCTCAGATTGAAATGGGTTATTTCAAACTACTAAAATAAGGGTGATTTAGTAGTCCAGAACGGGTCGTTTTCAAACTGGAACGGGCCGTTCCAAACTACTAAATAGGCCTATGAATATCTCGGACTGGAACGGGCCGTTCCAAAGTGGTCATTGTGAGTTAAATTCAACTCCAGAACGGGCCGTTCTGGTTTCAGAACGGGCCGTTCTGCATGTGAATTTTACACATGATGAAGGAGCCTAGAACGGGCCGTTCCGGATTCGAAACAGGCCGTTCTGGCCGTTTCAGATTTCTATAAATAGAGGTTGTGGGCAGTTGAGGAAAATGGAGGTTTTTAGAGAGAAGTTTTAGAGAGAAGGACTTTGGACTATGAAGCTTGCTTTGGGTGGATTGAAGTTTCGGGTTGAGCTTCTTTCAAAGCAATGTTTCAGTTACAATTACAAAAGTTAGGAATCTTGATTCCAATTACTCATTACTTTTTGTATACAGATCTAGGACCATAATTGACTTTTAGTGGAGGAATGGTTTCTGGCCCTTCTTATATCTTAGTGGCCTAACAAGGACAAAGGTTTTATTAACAAATAAAAAAGAGTGTTAATCATTAACGACAATTGAATCTACATAAAAGAAAAATGCTACAACAAACGTATTACTCTACCTTGAATATTAATATTTTGACTTTAAATTTATTGATATAGTTAAAATTATTGTGTCTTGAAATAATTTTATCATTGACAAGATGTTTCGGTAAGTTAAATGAGAAAATTGAATATTTATAAACTCTTAACCTATATATGTACCATTTATTGTCATACCAAAACAGTAATTAATAATCCAAGGGAATGTGAAGCCAACACTATTTAGTTAATAAGGCATTGATTGCATAGACCCAACAATAAAGCCATTTAATGACTGTGTAAAGCTATGAAAATTGAATCAAGTTTCTTCAACTTCGAGCCCACACGTATAATACACGTTATAATAATAACATTAGAGATAATGGTAAGTTAACTGTAATGGATAATTAAGATGATGGTAAGTACTAAGTACTTATTAACTTATCACTTCATTTTGTAATAAATTAATTAAAGAGAGTCTTAACCCTTAATTAATTAGCATTTCAAAAATATGTTGATTTCTTTAGATGGGTGCACCGTCCATATATTATATATAAGCCATGTGTGATTATGTGATGAGGCACAATTGAAGAAGAAAAGAAAGTAAAGTAATAATTCGAAGGCTGTCACTGCCATGTCACTCTCATGTAGAGAAACAATAAAAACATAAAGCTGAAGTTAATGTGATCCAAAAAGTGTATATGTTCTTCTCTTCTTCATTCCCATATGAAAAATGCTGCCATTTAACTTTCGAATTAAAGCAAAAGAAAAACCCTAGCCTTATCCTCATGATCTCTTTAATTATTTTGTCATGTCCATTCAGCCGGAAAATCTATATATGAAATTGATAAAAACAAAGAGTACTACTCATCACTTTGAATGGCTCTTGCATCTTCAACCTATCACCGGCCAAAATAACGCCATGTTGTGCTTCAAAAAACATGTACATTTTTTTTTTTTTTTTAGGCTACCTTATAGTAACATATTTTATTGTATATAATTGGTTGTCGTTGGTTGCTTGATTAGCAACTTGTGTTGTAAATATTTTATTATACTATTTTAGTATATATATTTCAGTAGTGTGTAGTATTGTCCGTAGTGTGACGGACATGACGGATCATTATAATTAAGATAATACATCTTGTAAAATAAATAATCAACTAAGGTTATTTAACGAAAATTTGTTTGTAATAAATATGTTGTATTATTTATATTTCGGCCAAATCAGATAATAAAGTTTTAGAATACTGGTATGAAAGAAAAATAATATGATTATAAAAAAACATGATAAAGATGATTTGTTGATTTAAGAATGAATAACAATGTTATGTTAACATTTTTTTATTAAAAAAAAAACGCTATGTTATTGAGCAAAAATGTTATGTCAGGCAAAATGAGAGGCTATAATTCCATTTCAATATCCTGCATGCAGCTATACATAACTGCGAAGATTCCCTCCCTATGAGGCCTCTAACGTAACTAAACTTTGAAAAGATGGTACAATCAATGAGAATGGGTATATCCTATGTAGAACTCAAAGCAAACCCTCACTTTTAAAATGTCTTTTTTAAATGCATGCATGTATTATAGAGTGCCTTTCTCTCACAGAAATAGAGTAACATATATGACATAATATATATATATATATATATATATATATATATATATA